AACAGATCCTTGCTCCATAAACGTAAAAATGTCAAGGACGAAGAAAGATTGCTGCCCACTGCCTTTTCCGGTGTCAGAAAAAGCTATTTTTAAGCTGATCTAGTTTGATTTCAATAATGCTATTCAATGACAATAATATATTGACAATTTCATGTGAAAATACAGAAATGCAGCTAGAAATACATACACAGAAATACAGCTAGAAATAATTCGTGATAGCATAATCAAATAAATCTTCATGATTTTAAATACATTTATAATGTTTTAATTGTTGATAAATTATTTAGCTTAAAAATTAAATCAAAAACATTTTAGTTTCTCAGAAAAAAAAATTTTGAATGCTTTTTTTTTCTTTTTTGTACAATAATATGGCCCTTTTTAAAAAAAGCCATAAATTTTTATCTTTGTTTGGTGGGGTGGTGTAGGGGGATATGTTTTTAATTTTTTTTTTTAATTGAACTGTGCTTGTAAACTTAAAAACCTTGAAATGCTTAGGAATAAAAACATTTAAAAATAATTTAAAAATGAGATAAATATTTGTATTTTTTATCTAAAGTTTTATATCTGCATTAAAATACACAATGATATAAAATATAAGTAAAAGCTTTTTTTAAATAAGCTATCGCGAGGTGATTGAGCAAAAGTTAATATTAAATATTAAATATTAAAATTAAAATATTAAATATTAATATTAAATATAAAAAGTTAATATTAAAATATTTACGAAATTCTATTAAATTATTTAAAATTTTAATATTAAAAAGTTTAAAGAAATTATCTTGAAAAGTTTTAAACATAGAGCATAAATAAAAATAACAACTGCTTTTTTTTTAAAAGCATTTAGAAGTAATCTCATTACCCTCAGTTAGTTTGGATTATGTGAAACTTTTGCAATTAAAAGAAACAAAAAATAAAAAAAGATTTAGAAAAAAGTGGACTAGGACCCAGGTGAGCAAAACTTTGATCTCATTTAAAATGTGAAAAATGTTATTAAAATTTTAAAAAAGTTGTGCTAAAAATTCTATCTACTATTTTTCATCATTTCATAATTTAAAAAAATGTCTACAAATAATACAGTATACAAGTATGGAGAAAATGTTAACTTTTACCATTTGTTCCTTTACATTGGTTTTATTCAACTAAATAATAACTGTTCTAGAATACTTTATATGTTAAAAACTTCTAATAAACAACTTTTTACTCAATATTGAATATTTAAACAGTAAACTTTCATGTAATGGCTCTCCTTTATGCATTTGTCATGGAACTTTTTTCATAAGAATATTAATCGTTGATCTGACATTTATAATTACTAATATGAAGATGAAACAATGCGCTTCTGAAAAAGGGTTTGCTTAATTATTTTATAGTCATCTTATATCAGGGGTGGCGAACCTTTATGCACTAACGTGCCATTTTTTCGAAAAAAATTTTTAACGAGATCATAGACGTGCCGACAAATAGTTTTGACTTCTTGATTATTGGGTAAATAATAATAATACTAAATACTATCAACTCAAAACTCTTTATTTACTACGAAAAAAAAATACATTTTGCAATACTCGTACAGTTATACTCGTAATTCAACTTAAAATAACATCAGTGTGACTTCTGTTGCTGCAGATTAGATGAAAAATAACTTATATCAGGATTGTAAGATGTTAGTTTAAGCAGAACTGTTAATTTTTTTTGCTAGTTATTTATTGTTAGCTTGTTTTTTTTTATGGTTATTAATTGCTTTTTTGGCATTAATTGTTCATTTTTTTAATAAATTTTTCGGGAATTTTAATTTAATTGTTAATATGCTTCATAGTGAACTTTGTGATCTGTGGCGTGCCCAAAATATTGTGTCGTGTGCCATAACTGGCACGCGTGCCATTGGTTCGCCATCCCTGTCTTATATTAAATTCAAGTTGTTTTATCTTAAATGTAATTTGTACTTTGTCTTTGATATTTTTCTATACTTTCACTTATATTTATTTATCTTTGAGAAATTCTCATTTTAACAGGATCATGTTTGCTCATCTACATTTTATATCTGACAGTTTTTAAACTTTTGACTACACTCTAAATGGTGATGATATTTTAATTATTAAAAACAGTGCTGAATAAATAAAAAATAAGTCGCACAAATTAAAAAAGAAATAAATTTTTTTTAGAAAATTCAAAAGTTTGAAATATATGACATTTTTTGGTAAATATAAATGCCTTTAAAACAATGGTCAAGAGGAAAAAAAATTTATCCCTAAGACAAATTACACTTCTGATCAGATTTGTACATAAATTTCTCAGCAAGACTCATTAAATGAGTACAATAAAAATTGCTCCAAAGCTATTAAGTAGATAACTAAATAGCATAGTAAATCGGCATAATTCTTCTAAGAGCGAAAAATCCGAATTAAATGTTTAGAGTGCTTGAAATTTAAAAAAAAAATTATATCTATATCTCATTAGGCAATAACTAATCTTAATCTAATTAGGCAATAAATAATTTTATATACTTAGAAATTTTGCTTTCATAAATAAAAATTTTTTTTCTTTCAGAATTTTTACATTAATTTAAATAATCTTATTGTAAAAAAATATTTAATAAAACAAACTCTTTTATAATAATAAAAAATAAAATTTTACTTAATAAACAAATATGCGTGCATTATTTAATAGATTTTTTAATATATTACATTTCATTATGCAATCTATTATATTCTTTAATAGATTTTTTGTATCTAAATTATAATTTAGAATTTTTAAACATGCCAGTTTAAAATTCCAAAGGTGTGTTGAAATTGTAGTGTATGAAGTGGGAGATTTTTTTTAAATAAGGAGAAGAATAACTGATTTATACAGAGCAAGATTTAGTTTTAATAGAAATTTTGGAGATTATTAATATTTTAACAACAGAAAATATTACCTAAAATAGTTTGCGAAAATATGTATATATAAATATATCTATCAGAACATTAACATTAATCAAATGAAATTCCTGTTATTAAGTTACTATACATCATTAAAACCTACAAAAATATTCAATATTATTAAACAAAAGCATTAAATACTAAAAAATTTTGAAGCTTTATGTGTTTTCATCATTATGATAGTTTTATTTTTCGAAATGTTTTATTCTAAATATATTTTATTCATATTGTAATCAATTTTCTTTATAATCACTTCCAGTAGCTTAATAATATATCAAATACAATGGATTGTCATTACTATACTTGAAATTTAAAAATTTTTGAATTTATTTAATAAAATATTAAGACTTTGAAAGTCCCTGAATTTTTTAACTAATCATAACGATTTTGTTCTGTTTTATCTTCGATTTAACTTCATTATTAGTAATTAATTAATTAAAGCATTACTAAGCGTCATAAAAATCCCTGTAAAACAATAAAAATTCTAATAATGTTTCTTTAAAATATATTGAGTCTTCTGTCTTCTTAACTAATTGAAATAGTTATTAAATCTTTGCTACTCATTTCTTCAATTGCTACTCATTGTAAATAATTAATACCATCAGTTATAGAATTAGAATGCTAAGTAAAGTAAATAATATTCCTTAAGGCTTTGATCCTTTTAATTATAATTCTAAGCACTAGTCTGTAACTTTCTTAGAATTTCATTAATGTTAATTCATTAATAAGGATGTAATTAAACTTGATTAGAACACTACTAAATTGATTTGTATTCTATTAAGACCAATATTGAAATCAATTTAATATTGTTGGATAATTAATATTTTAAAGTTTAAAAATTTATGTTTGACAATTTTTATCATTTTAATTTAATTTTGGATTATTTTAAGAATATGTATTGGAAATAATTGATAACTTATATTACGTTGAACTTAAAGCCATTATAGCATTTTTTATAGAAAATTATAATTTATTTTAATAAACATGTTTAGCATTTATTTAAGTTTTGATAAATCAAGCATTACCCCCTTAATAAATTTATTAATATTATATTAATGCAAAATATTTAACAGTTTAAAAGTTTTATTCTAAGCTGTGATTAGTAATTCAAACTAAATAGTTAGGATATAATTAAATAATAATAATAAGGACATAATTAAATTAATAAGGATATAATTAAACTTGTTTAGAACACTACTAAATTGATTTGCATTCTATTAAGACCAATATTGAAATCAATTTAATATTGTTGGATAATTAATATTTTAAAGTTTAAAAATTTATGTTTGACAATTTTTATCATTTTAATTTAATTTTGTATTATTTTAAGAGTATGTATTAGAAATAATTGATAACTTATATTACGTTGAACTTAACGCCATTATAGGATTTTTTATAGAAAATTATAATTTATTTTAATAAACATGTTTAGCATTTATTTAAGTTTTGATAAATCAAGCATTACCACTTTAATAAATTTATTAATATTATATTAATACAAAATATTTAACAGTTTAAAAGTTTTATTCTAAGCTGTGATTAGTTATTCAGACTAAATAGTTTTATTCTAAGCTATGATTTGTTATTCAAACTAAATAGTTTTATTTTTGATTATTATTAGTAATTAAAACTGAGTAGTTTTATTCTAAACTATTTTCAGTATTCCAGACAAAATAAATGTATTCTAAGCTACAACTAATAGTTCAAACTAATAGTTTTATTTGAAATAAACTAAAAGTGATGATTCTTAGCCAAATATTAAAACACGCTACTCTAAATATTTTATATAATAATAGCAGTCAGATTTATCGATTTCAAATTGATATCAGTTAAGAAAATGTATTAGCAATAAATTTTAGGTTAATTTAAAGTACCGTAATAATAGTTCATTAATACAGATTTAATTCCGATTCATCACAACTTTTATTTATTTATTTCATAATGCTCTAATGCAAAATAGGAATTTTTTAAAAAATTTATCTGCTATCGATCTTTATAACTAATAACAATAGTTTTTGAAAAGTTTCAATTTAAATACATATGTGTAAACTCTAACTTTCTTCAACTATCATTTCTCATCTTCAGGTGATGCTGAGGATGAAGGATGCACTTGGAAGGAGAGCAAGATGATACCATTGGCTGACGCGGGAAAATCGGAGAAGATGCTTGGGAGCTGTTTTTCATTGGACGACATCCAGGAGGTCGGAGAGAAGGGATTGGAAGAGGTAGGCATGAGGCAAAGATGAGGTACTAAAAGGGGTGACAGCCAATGTGAGATAGGGTTGTGTGTAGAAAGGGTTTGTCGTGTGATAGACAACCAATGATTGCCTGAGGCCTACTATAGGTTTCAGTTTGTTGATTTCTGAAAGGCGCGAATTTCAAATATTCAGTCATCAAAAAAGAATGTTACGTTTTTAAATAAGTTCAAAATAAAAAAGTGTTTCATATTCAGAAATTTAAAGCAAAAAATTATTTTTAGAATTTAATACCTATGCTCCTCGAACAGTTAGATCTTAATATAGTGTTATATTTTGTCAAAAATTCATGAATGTTGACTATAATATAGTCACTATTAGTTCAAAAAATACGGTTTAATTGAAAGATCCGAACATAAAAATGTCTTCGTTATCTTAATAAATATAATTTTTTTAACGAAAAATTCTAACAAATTACGTTATATTCTAAATTATATAACCAATAAATTATATAACCGGTGGCATAGTTTCCCAGGGGAAAATGAAGTTTGGTACCGTCATTGGAGCAGTAAATTCCTGCTCCTGATTTGGCACCAATCTTTTAACCATTAGTGTACCATATTAGGCATTTGCCTTTAAGCCACCAAGGAGAATTAAATCATTCATCTCTAGTAGGAAAATGGATCTTGAAGGGCTTGTGAAAAGCATATCTTAGTGACATATAGTCACTAGGCATAATAAAAGATGGTATATCCATCACTTGTGAAACAAGATGTCCCCATGACAAGTGTTTGGAATAATATACTATAAATAACACTTTTCAAACAATATAATTTTATTAAAAATTTAAAACTACCTTTCATACAAAAAGTATTAATAATTAGCACAATTATTTTTGGTAATAACAAAATATTTCCCCTTAAAATTATTTTAAGGTTTTAGTTAGAATTTATTCGAAAATCTTAAGATATTTTTTAAAATTTTCTTTTTTCTTTAAAATATCTTCAGAGCTTTTTAAAGACATATTTTTTTTTTGCCTACTTAACTTTTTGTTTAAAATGTTAGCTTGATCCTTTCCTTATTACCACTATTTTAACACTATCAGAAACAAATCTCTCCCTTTTTACAATTTAGCTATCCATGAGCTGTATTTCGTTACTTTATATAATAATTTCGTCCCGAAATCAAGTGATTTATAACAAAACGAAAACTTTCAAATATAATACGAAAATGCTTCCTCAACTCAAATACTCAACGCAGTGCATTGTGGGAGATCGTTAACGAAAATGACGAAACTAGAATGAAGACTTGACAATCAAAAATAAAGTCACGAAACAAGCAAACTGTTCTATACGTTGGGCAAGGAGTTGCCCTCGTAACAAGAAGATCCCGGGTTCGAATCCTTGGTCTAATTTATCGTTGCGTCTTATCTGTCCGTGTGTTATATGGTGACATTGGTCCACCAATATGGTGCCAAAGTTAAAGTGGTTATTTGAAAAGATAGGTGCCTTAGACACTAAAAGATTTTCTGTTTCGTTTTATTTTATTTATTTATTTTGGAGGAAAAGAGTGATGGAATATTTCTTCACTTTTGTGAAATTCGTTTCTTCAAAGAATAGACGATAGTTATTTCGCCACATTGACGAAATGTTAACACGTAGCAGAACAGTTTCGTCAAAAATGAAGAAAGTTTCGTGAAATTTAAGTATTCAGTTTTTGCAGTAAAGTTGGTTTCAACAACTAGTTGTGTAGCAAAAAAAATGTAATTGTTTTGTATGTTGGATTACTTTGTGAAAAAGTAAATTCTGAAAGAAAGAAAAAACTGAATGAATTCAGCATAACTTCTATGCCTGTATTTTAAAATTTTCTACAAATTTTCTGTTTAAAATAAAATTTGAAAATACATAAGACTTTGTAGACAATTAAAAGATTTAAAAAGTGCGCCAAACAGAAAGTTTTTAGGGAAGTCATCACATTATTTTTAATAAGGATTTTCTTTAAGAATTTGCAAAACTATCTCGCAAATTGTTTAGCAAAATATTAACCAAAATTGTCTGTCCAATTTTGTGTCATAATAAATCAGGATTAAATAGTGCATATATCGAAAATATGTTGCTCACATGCATTTCAGCAGTTTTTGGTCCCAAGTTTTATTTAGTTCGTGCATAAAATATTAAAGTAATTCTTTAACAAATTTACATGAAAGTTTAAAAGACATTGTAGCTGCAATTATGTCTTTACTAAACTATTCATCAAAAAATATGTACTCCAGAAAAGGAAATAAGAATAAAAAATAGTATTAACAGTATTGAGGTAAAGTAACACTTGAAAACGTCTTAATGTATGATTTTTTCTGTTTTATTAAAAGGTTCTCTAAATCTTAAAAGACATTATATCTGTAACTGAAGCTTACAATAACATAAATTTTATTTTACAGTAAAGTTTCCGATAGTAAATATTAATTTATTTTCTTCTAAACATGTATTCGTTTAGAAATTTTTATAAAATATTATGTGCAATTTTGTTTCATTTTGCGTTTTATGATAACATTATGTTCATACTAATATTATTTTCATAATAATAATATTTTCTTAATGTACGCATAATTCTCTCATTTATCATCCTAATATGTATGAAATAAATATTAGTTAGTTAAATTAGCTCCAGACACAATTTTAAATTTAAAGATATATGTTATTAAAGCATTCGTCTTCTTTCTATATTAAAGTACAAATAATTAAAAAAAAGTATTTTTATTACATTTCGATTAGATATCCGAAATAACAAAATGAAATATACTGTTTAAAAAAACATGTGTTATTTCAAATTAAAATATACATTAAAATTTTTCTGAAAATTCTATTTAAAATTAATAGATATTTATCACCAAGTTACGATCTTCGTTGGTGGCCGAATTAAAAGAGAAACAAAAAATTTAAATATTACCCTAAAATATCTGATTCACTTTTTACATAACAAACAAATATTGTATACATCACTCAAAAATTCATTTTTCTTTCGAAGCAAATAATGCATAAGCTAAAATGGTTTTTTAAACTGAAAAAAAAAGAAACTCCTCAAGGTAAACTGATGTTTTATTTATTTTTCATATTCTCTGAAATAAATAGTTTTCTTAACTTTAATAGCAATCGAATCATCTCGTAAAAACAGTTCGGTGCCTATAAGACGTTGTTCATATTAATTAAGGGAAACCGAAACCTTAAATCTTCTTCACGGTCTCAGTTACAACAACTAGAATTTCAGCAACGAAAAAAAATCACAGAAGCAGCACTTATATATTTAAGTTTATTTATTTCTCTTGATAAAAAAAGCAAAAATTAAAGAGTTAGATATTTGGGTTGGGAATACTTATTCCATCATCAGTAATACATATCATATCTAGCAATCATTTCTAACTCTAATTTTTTTTTCTTCTTTCTACTCTAATTGCGTTTACATATATATAAATATATATATATATATGGGCAGATCTCTAAAACCATTATCTTTTGATAATAAAAAAAATAATTAAAAATAATAAACACACTATTCTTTACACCTCAGAATTGTCTAAAAATGTTTAAAATATCGGAAAATAATCGTGAACATTGAAAATTCTGATGCCCTTGTAAGTATAAACAAAATATTAAAATTTTGAGCTAATTTTTCTAGGTTTATAATCACAAACTGTCATTCGGTGAGGTTACAGTTACGATGTCAAGACCGTAATCAGACCCAGATCTAAAAAGTAAATGTTAAAATCAATTAAAATTTTGATCACACGTTTGTCATTGCCTAATTTATTTTCTGTGTTGTGAGCGTCCCATTGCGTTGCATCTGAGTAAAGTTTTCGATCTATTTTCTAGGACCGTAACTTTGTCAGACCGTAACTTTGTCAGATAACCGTAACTTTGTCAGATCCCAGACCGTAACTTTGTCAAACAGTAACCTCAGGATTAATTAATTGAATTTAACATATCAGAACTTAGTTTTTTCCCTATGTTTTACTAATTGAAAATATTTTTTGACTGAAAATAATTAAAGTAAGTCCTTTTATACATTTTATAACAATTTAACTTAATATTAAAATTTTTCAATTCATTTTTGATACTAATAATTTTTGATGAAAAACAAAGGGTAAATATGGATGAAATTATTAAAAAGAAAAAATTGCTNTATATATGGGCAGATCTCTAAAACCATTATCTTTTGATAATAAAAAAAATAATTAAAAATAATAAACACACTATTCTTTACACCTCAGAATTGTCTAAAAATGTTTAAAATATCGGAAAATAATCGTGAACATTGAAAATTCTGATGCCCTTGTAAGTATAAACAAAATATTAAAATTTTGAGCTAATTTTTCTAGGTTTATAATCACAAGCTGTCATTCGGTGAGGTTACAGTTACGATGTCAAGACCGTAATCAGACCCAGATCTAAAAAGTAAATGTTAAAATCAATTAAAATTTTGATCACACGTTTGTCATTGCCTAATTTATTTTCTGTGTTGTGCGCATCCCATTGCGTTGCATCTGAGTAAAGTTTTCGGTCTATTTTCTAGGACCGTAACTTTGTCAGACAACTGTAATTTTGTCAGACAGTAACTTTGTCAGATAACCGTAACTTTGTCAGATCCCAAACCGTAACTTTGTGAAACAGTAGCCTCAGGATTGGTTAATTGAATTAACATATCAGAACTTAGTTTTTTCCCAAAGTTTTATAAATTGAAGATATTTTTTGACAGAAAATAATTATAGTAAGCCTTTTTATACATTTTATAACAATTTAACTTAATATAAAAATTTTTCAATTCATTTATGATACGAATAATTTTTGATGAAAAACAAAGGGAAAATATGGATGAAATTATTAAAAAGAAAAAATTGCTCAATAAAATAAAAATAGATTCAATAAGTATATATGTTAATTAAATAAATGATACTTTAGTCGTTTTTATGATTTTTAATTAAATGTATATAAACCTAGAAAAATTAGCTCGAAAATTTTAATTTTTTGTTTATACTT